AGATGTGTATAAGAGACCTGTCTAATATAACACTACTAAATTGCAATTCCGTACGCATAATAATTTACTCGCTAATTAATCTTTCCTATTCATAACATCAATCAAAAACTAAACAATCGTTTGATAAACAAAAATTTAAGATCGCTAATCAAATTTAAGAATCAAATATTAACATATATGCTTTGTGAAAATTATAAATATCTGCAATTAAAACAACGTGTCAGTTATATATTTATAGTGATAATTCTCCCTCTACAGACACCACAGCTGGGAGATTCTGGTGGGGGTTTCTTTCGCATCTTCTGCTACATGTGTAAATATTTGAATCATAGTATGTACAATACGTTGTTTCAATCGTTATTTACTAAGTACTTTGCACCACCATACATGGACATGCACGTGGTGGACCCCATATATAGGCGCATTATGACTATATATGGGAATTCAACAGTTCTTTTGTCAAAGAAACTTTGCTGTGGACAGAGCCTTACAACAACAAAAATTGAAAATAAAACTATGTGCTACACAAAATTTCAAGAATAATGATTTAATTCAAATGAATACTGTTTTGAATTACAGAAAATCAATCCCATTGCAACAAACAGCATCAGGTTTACCTGAGATTAATACTATACTCATTTACACACCCAGGAATGTACACTTACTTTCAATCATTTTCAATTTATTACTTAATTGAAACTTATATGCTAAAATCTAAGTAAACATGATAGAGGGCGCCATAGTGATAACTTACCAAACTATAAGGTATAAAATAACTCTATACTGTACATGATACCAAGAATGGGTAATACTTTTTAGTACATGTCCCTTATAGGATGCAAGTGCAGCTGTATTAAACTAAGTCTCATTATGAGGCTTAACAAGTGGAGTAGTCTTTAGTCAATTCTGACCAGATTTGAGTCCAGGACCCTGGGTTTGAAAAATAAGCACCTTAACCACAAAGCTACGGCTCCTGCGAATAGCTAGTCTAAAAAGTAAATATAATAAGTATTTCAAATACATTTAGAATTTATTTGATAAAATTTAAAGCCAAAATCAAAATTATTGGTCCAGGCCTTAAAAATGATCATTCGCTACATCAAGCACCATACTTCCTGATTTTACTTACCAACAGATAGCACTAGTCAAGCATTGCCAGTTGGAAAAGTTCAAATGTTTTCAAATTTTACTAAAAAAAAGAGATAAAATCCTATATTTACTGCAGCTACAATGTAGAAACAAACTTTAAAAATAACTGTCCGAAATAAGATAAACTCTTGGCCTTGAACTACAGCAAGAAAATAAATAAGGCTTGCAATCCCAAAACCAGCATCAGTAACTAAAAAATGAAAACTGACTTTTTAATACAGTATATTCATATTCTTAATATTTTAAGGTTTAAAATGAGGGGTTGCTTACCGGAATTCATTTACTATTGCCAATGTTATGAGTAAAATTACTACAGCTTCTCTATACTAAAGTATACAATACTTCCACATTCTTATTCTATCACTAGCGACAGTACTCAGGTTTTGAAATGGCAAGTCTCAAATGAAATTGGTTTAAAAATATGTGTGCTTAATCTGACAACCGACGGATAAAAATGGAAGCACTTATAATTATTTAAAATTAAAGCTCGTGTCCACTATCTTTGTGATATCAAGCCATAGCGAGTTCAAACGATGCGGCGTACCTGCCAGTCACACAATGGTAGATCTGACGCTCAATATCACCAAGCAAGGAGCTTGCGCCGATACGGAACAGCTCGGGTCTCAACCAATCGTCACCCAGCTCCTCCTTCATGAGGGACAACCATATGCAGGAATCTTTGGCAGTGCGGATGCCACCAGCAGGTTTGAATCCAACCTTTAGAAAAAAAAGGTTGAGAGGCATGAGGTTTGGTGGACTGCAATTTTTTGTAAATTTCAAAATCCAATACATATGAGGGCGGCATATCGTGGCAAAATGGTTAAGTTGTCGCACAGGCCAGTATTGAGTATAAATGAGCTATAAAATATGGGAGCTCAAAAAATTGCCTAAAAATCCAAATTTGTTTTTCACTATAGATCAACAGTATAATGTCCCTAAGTAATAGTTCTGGAAGTGGTCAACAAATCATTTATTTAACGTTATTTTGATAGTTAATTCTATTAAACAATGAATGCACAATTAACTTTGAAAGGCAATTACTCAAAATCATGTTTATCTTACCTCTGACAGTGCTGTACTTAACTTTCCAATAACTTAAGCTTGAAATGTCTAATTTCAATGAATGACCCCTCATTTTAAAGATGACTTACTCAGATATCTTAAAATACCAATAACTTGAATTTCAATTTTGCTACAACTTAGCCATTTTGCTACAACATGCCTCATAGTTGCGACTGTCATACTTGTTCAATGAACACCAAACAAATAATAAAATTAATAAAATATAATAAATTAATAAAATAAGTTAATATACAGTACAGTGCATATTTTATAACATAACAATTTGGATAATGAAATATTGATTATGTGTCATTAACCTCAATAAATGCCTTTCTTATGACATGCTCTTCAGTGATATTCTCTTTAAAGCAGTGGCTATTTTTACACCAGTCTTAAACTTCTAATTCTGATCAGATGTTACAGTGTTTTTGGATTGTATCACGACAATAACACCCAATCAGAATTTGGAATTCATTTAAGATTGGTATAACAATAGCCACTGCTTATCTTTAATGATTCTGTTCTGTTTTCTATGCATGAGATAACATATCATTTACCTTGAACCCTGTGTGTTTATAATATTCTCTGATAGCTCTGACCATGACCAGGCCAACTGGTAGGATTGCGTTTACACCTTCCTTTCCTGTCGACGTCTTGATAAAATCTGACCCTGTAAAAGAAGGGATAAATGCATTTCAAACACATTTTTAAATTATTTTAATTATGTATTTATTCATTAACTTTTCCAGAAAAATTAAAATATATCTGAGAACAGGAGCACAGTAAGGCCAAGTAGAGTAAAATTGCAAATACATACCTGCCATCATGGCTACCAGACTGGCCTTGTAAACATTCGTCAAAGACCCTAGCTCACCAGTTGCCAGGATGGACTTCATGTGAGCTTCACCACATGCTTCACGGAATGCACATAACTCATCATACACACCTGATGAAAAGCAGACAGAGTTCATTCCCAATGAAAATTATTGCCAGAATCATCATCAAGAGGGCAGCACACATTTCTATATCTATTCACTTGTCACTTCCATTTAATTTTTAAATTACACCAAAAAATGTATATATTTATCATAGTAAAAAAAATATTTAAAAAAATTACCCTGCCAGTTGCCAGCTAATGCATATGCTCTGTTGATTACTATATCAATTTCTGTCGCCCCATCTTCCACTGCCAACCTAATTTCTGCTAAGCGAATCTTAAAGGGTGTCTGTCCAGCTGGAAATCCGGTTGCAACTACAGTAAATAGAACAAAGCAGAAATAAAATACAACATAGTATCTTTCAATTTTTATCAAATGTAAGTCATTCCCCAATACAGAGAGTTTATTCAGACTATACAGCCCTTCGGCTTAAAATATACAATGCAAATTTCTGAATAACATGACAATATATTAAAATAATAATTAAGTCATGGCCACTGGGGTGGGGAGGGTGTGGCAGGTTAAGAATCTTAGCTACAACACTACATCTGAAATTCATTCACATAGTAAGGAAATTAACAGTAATGAAGTACAGTATTGCTATCAATCTTTACCTGAGGCTACTGGGATTTGGGGAGCCCCTGCCTCCTTCAGAGCTCGTACTGCATCACACACCCTCGAAGGATACACACATACTGCGCCAGTTGTGATACCTGAAACAAAACAAAATAGAGATTTAAAAAAATATAAATCTTGCTCCTGATGACACCTTCCAAGAAAAAAAATGTGATGGGTGCTGAGTAGACAACATGCAGATTGTTAAAACTCGCTGAGATTCAGTAAGATGTTGGGCAATGCAGACACATTCCTTCCGCAACCCTTCTATAAAAAACAAAAGATAGAGCTCCCAGGTACATGCCCCAACACCATTGAAAACTTACTGAAAAATCACTGCATATCACTCATACCCCAGCAAGCGCCCATCCCAAAATTTCCCATCATGCTACCACCATCAGCTGTCCTGCCAATATTCCCTGACACGCCTTCAGTTCCACTCCGGCTTATTAGTGCTATGCACTGATACTTTTTTGGGGGTAAAAAAATGTATAGGCAACTTCATCTGTACCTTTATCATGCATTTCTACAGCCTTCAAGAGATCTTCCCTGATTGGTTGTTTAGCTTTGAAGCAAAGTCGCTGGACATTGGTGAATGTGTCATCTCCTGACAAAGTTGTAAGGTCAATGCAGGTCACAGCTCTTAACATCCATGCTATCTACAAGAACAAAAAATAATATAAAAGAATAGCAAAAAATACTATAAATATGAATTTAAAAACTTTAAAACTATTATATTTTGTCAACAGCACTATGTAAATTACAGTATGTTATTGATTAGGAATTGGCTATTGTTACACCAGTTTTAAGCTAATTCCAACTTCAGATTGGGTGTTAATGTATAATGTTTGGACAGGCCAATAACATCTAATCAAAATTAAGATTTAGTTGAAGAGTAGCATAACAACAGCCACTGTTGACACTCAGATATTAAAATCTTTAGACCGTGAAAAGTAAATATTGGATGCAAGACCGCACTACAGGTACAGATTTAAAGTACGGCCTGTGCAAAAAATATATCCTTCACACAAAAATTTGGCCTAGAAATTCGTCTTTACATTTCAGAAAATAAGAGCCGATTTTAACGCAGATATTCTTTAAAATTGTTTGCATGCATTGACCCTAAATTTACCTGGTAGTTTTTCTTGACAGTTCTCCTGGTGCCTAGTTGTGATGCACGTTTGAATACTGCTGGTTTGTTAATGTGAACATTACTCACCCATTCCAGGTCTAAAATAAAACACATAAAAATAACATGATTTTGTCATCTTATTTTATCATTTTTTTATAGTAACAAACAAATTTCTGTACACTTTCTGCAGTATGTACATTAAATATTGATATGCGAGAGATAAAGTTTGTATATTTCATGTCTAGTATTTTCTTTCACAATGATGGTATTATTAGTAACGACAGCCAGCTATCAAGTGTGATTCATCACGTACCCCGGGTATGCAGCTGAGGTCGAATATCTTCTGCAATGTTATAACCCTTCCTAATCCGGGTCTTGATTTGGATCAGGCAGCAAAGGGGCCTCCTAAAAAGGGGCCGCATAAAAGGGCCGAGGCAGAGTGCCTAGGCCTGTGCCCTAGAGCAGAGGAAATCTAGCCTAGTTAGGCCTAGGACCCTAGACTAGTACCTAGACTCTCTAGACTAGGCCCTCCTAGCCTAGCCTACTAGTACTATAGGGCCTAGGCTAGGCCAATCTTACGGTTGTAAATAAGATCTTATTAATGTTTTCCAACCAACTGGTGTAATCTTACATAATATAAAGAACATATGTACTTGTATAAATAATATATAAACTTTAATAATTGTAAAAAAATGTCATTACCAAGCTTAATTCCCGGATTCCTCTCTGCCATGTTGCTGCTTAGCAAAGAGTTATACTATTTGTGCTTAGTGATGCGTGAATGGTACGTGCGAAAAATACCAAGATGAGCCGCGAAATCCATACTTTACTACTCTATCACTATAATTATCGATGAGGGCAGCAAACATAACAATGAGGAATTTTTGAAAACAATGCGCATTTTGCTTATCTCCATGGTTGTTTTATACGTTTTTACTAAGTAGTCGCAAGTTCGATCGTCCAGATCTGCCCTCAAATGTAATTCCACAGGTACCAAATATATGTTGATGTTTTATATTTTTTGGTAATTAGGCCTATATTGGTTTATCAGATTATATAAATTACAAGTGCTAGGCCTAGCTAGGCCAAAGCCTTCCCACGCCCCCAAACAAAGTAAGCGATCTCCTCCTGGAGCTCCCTCCTCGCAAGACAAAACCTATCTTGACGCTAAGATGGGACACTAGGGCCTAGGCTAGGGCAGCCTTCCAATAACCAGAAATTAGGCTCAAAAAATATTTCGAAAATTTAGTATTAAAAAATGTGTTTTCATAAAAAATGAATATTTTTTTTTTTTGCATACAAATTTGTGAAAAAGTATTTAGGGCCTAGCCTAGTCCTAGACCTATTTGATTTGTATCTAGAAAGGTAGGCCTACTATAATGCCTAGTCCATCTGTAAAGTTCTTTAATGATGATACCTCAAAAACTAGCTCAAATTTGCTAGGAAAATAGGTGCGCAGAATCGTAATTACTGCATAAATACAGTGTTTATATACTGTATAATGGTCAGACTCAAAGCCTCATTTTTGGCAAAATCTGCTTGGAAATTGGCCCTTATTTTCCGCCCATATGCGCGGACTGATATTCTAGGTCAAATATTTGTGCGGAGGATGTATTCCCCTCGCAGTCCTTACAGTCTGGTGTCTGGTTTAATCATAGTGAATATATGGAATTGGTACAAAAACATTGATTAAAAAATTGTTATTGTTTTATCTCCTCTTATTTTTTTCCAGATTTCTCAAAATGAAACTTTTTGTATATTAAATAGCAAAAAGACTTAATGAAGAAGATTTACTACAGTAATTCATTAGATGACAGAGATTTTGTTTAAGAATTGAGAATGCAAGTTGGACAGTATCGTGGAGTACTGTACCTACAGTACTTCCTTCTGTTTGTTGATCTCTGTGTGAATGCATTTGCTGATCTTATCCGTGGAGATAAAGTAGCACAACTGGTTCTTTTCATGTAAGTAATGCTGCGTTCATTAGAACTTGTGAAAGCTGATTTCACAACTTGTAACATGCGAGAACACGAGAAGAGTGCATTCATTTGACAAACGCTAAAATGGCATTTTTGTTTTCCTATTCGGGATTTTGACAATCGCCCTCACACAGATGTGCTCCTTGGCCTAGGCCTAGCCTATGTAAAAAAAGCTTGAATTAGGACTCCGTAAAGAGCATTCAGAACGTTATACAGAGCAAATCATGAGGTTGCAAATAATACATACTGTACAAAAAACATTTTTTTTTACCTGAAATAATTTTACTTAAACAAATTGCAATAAATACATCTGCTCGTTTGTGTTACATCCTTCATTTTCCACACTACTTGTGCAAATCGAGGAAGAAAATTCTACTCAAGTTTACAACGTTCACCGACCAGTTGAACGCATTTCACAAGTTGTGAACTGGGAAACACCGACTTCACAAGTTCTAATGAACACAGCATAAATTGCAACCGTTATATCCATAGATCGCAGTGGTACAAGTCACAGAAACAGGATTTTCCCTTAACAAATGATATCCATTCCCTAAGCCTTGTATCATATGGAGACTCGATTTAGTCCGTGTAGAGCATCTTGTGTATATGGTTGTCTTAGTGAAGGGAATGCTAATTCTTTAAAAAAAGTTCACCTTTTGGTATATCATTTTCCCTTGTGCCTTAAGTTGAATAAAATGTTTATGAAAAATAAAACAGAATTGATTGGTTTTAAAATATTTTAATTTTTATATTAACCTTTCCTTAATACTGTACTTAATACAACAAGCTATTTTCAAGATTCAAAATTCAAGAACTTGTATTGGTTTGTATATGAAATACACACATACAATTGTTTTGCTTGGCAGAAAATCAGGACATTAAAACAAAAAACCAAAAATACAATAATATAAAATCATTGTTCAATTCCACAGTGTACAAGATATATGCCTGATCTTTGCAACCATCGTCATTTTTCTGATGTTCTTCAATACATATGTGTTTCAAGCAGGCTTAGTTGGGTTCCTTGTTCGCAAATTTAAATCAACGATTATTATCCTGTTCATTTACTTCATGCTCTGTCTTGGTCTTCACCTTTGGACAGTGGTAAGATACTGCTTTCACATTGTAAAATAGAAGATTTAAGCAATAATAACATTAACAACACAAGTTTCATACAAATAAAATTTGAAGATTAAATTATGTGCAATATACTTTTAATAGGAAATTTGTATTATTGTATATTATAATACAGTATTTGTGAATTTATTGTCTGCAGTTAAAACGTCAATAAATGCATAGATTATGTAAGCAAGAGGCATTTACCTGTTGTTTTATGTAGATGGATTTAAAATGCCACTTTGCTTTAATCTATTCAGGTTTTAAGATGGAAGAAGCCAAACTTGTACATATGGAATGGCAGGCCTGGTTACACAGCACTCTACTCATTGCAACGAATTGGTATGTTAGATGTTAGATTACCCCTGTATCGATCAATATAAACTCAGTGACCTGATGAAATCAGCAGTACAAGGGAGATTGGAGAAAATGAGAGTAGGCGTATGATGTGAGGGGTAATCAGGATAAATGAAAGTAAACAAGCAAGTTAAGGCAGGACAAATTAAATTTGAATTGAAGGCAGGGAAAATAGGACTGAAGATAAATAAAATAAGACCTATTAAGGGTGAAAGTAAGAACAAGGAAAAGAAGGTGAGGTAAAATAAGAGCAGGGCATATGAGAGCAGTGAAAATGAGGCAGGACAAATGGGGAAAAAAAAGAGTGGGGAGTGTAAAAGCAGACAAAATGAAGGCAAGGCATATGAAAGTGTTTATACAGTATAGCAGTTAATATCAATCTTAACATATTAACATTTACTTTGTATCCTAAAATCCTCTCTAATATTATCTTAAAAGCCAAGTCAAAAGTTGGCTCATTCAAACAGAAATATCTACTGCTAAAACAGTCACATTCTATTTTCGTAGGAGCTGTGCTGTATTACTATTTTTACAAGAGGACGGCTTTACGATTAGGTGACCCACGCTTTTACCGGGACTCGGAATGGCTGCGCCAGGAATTCCAGAAGGTTCGGTAACCCCACCGTCCAAAAACATTTTTTTTTTTGTAAATGTTTTGATTATCTGTATGTGTTAAATTTTGAAAGTCTGAAATACCTTCAATCATCAAATGTAGATGCAAATTACTAATGCATAATCTTAATTATTGGACCAAAGTTTAATGTAAACGAAGTTTTACCAAACTAGAAAATAAACCTATTTAATAACTATCCTATTTTCAGAAACTTTATAAAAATCAGTTGTAATATAAAGACTGAATTAAAACCCAATGATAAAATGTTTACGAAAGTACTATGTAGTGAAATTTTAAAATGTCACTGTTTTACAGTTACCGACAGTAAAGTAATAGCTTATGCAACAGGCTATTGACTCGATAATTGGTTGTTTTATGCAAACAGTTGCATATACGCATTATTAACAACAGCAAAAGGTAGTTAAAGATAATGTATAGATTTATACCTCAAATTGAACCATCCACCCATGTAATAACTGTATACCTTGTATTTATGTATCTTGATTATTTGTATATTTATTATTATTATATACAACTGTACATATAAACATATTTTTAATTTTTTTAGCATATGTCCATAATTAATAAGGTATTGTTGTGTATATATTGAAAATTCTTGTATTTGTATTCATCTACTTGGTATTTATGAATGATAGAAATGATGATGATGATTTTAATAATAAGTTACCAATGTATATATTTGGTTTATTATGAAACCAATGTTTTATTATTTCAGTCATCCACAAATTTGTTGTAATGCTGTAAATTTTGTTGTAATGAGATTTTATAAATATGATAAAAATAGTTGTGTAGCTGTGTAAGTCTTAAACAATAAGAATAATGAGACAGCATCCTGGATGTTTACAAGCTTCATGGTCAGTTTACTAATGTGTGAGACTTTTGACAAACTTGCTGCAAAAATTTAGGTTAAAGGAGCTGTTATTGTCTCTTAATTCACGTTTTTTAGTACTGTATGTTCCAGTGACATGTAGGTTTTATTTTCATCATACAATATTAAAGCTTCATTTTATTGAATTGACTTCATAACAGTTTTTAGCACCATTCAGTGCTGGAAAAATTAAAATTTGGCGAGCCTCCATTTGCTGCAATGCAGTGTGTGGTGTAGTTTACATATAGCCACATCCACATGCTGTCAAAATTATGAATTCGGATTATGAATTGAATTTGTGAGAATGCCATGTTAAATTTGCTCTCATTTTGTTGTCCTAGAATTAATAATTTTATGCAATTTTAAATTACACATAGCATTTCATCAAACCTTTGTTAACTTTCTCTCATTGACACACTATTCTACTGTAAAATAATCTTATGACAGGATATTGCTATTTTGCTTCAACATATTGATGTAGTAGTAGAAAATCCATCCATAGTGGTTTAAATGTAGTTGTCAATGAGGCCTAGTCGCCCAAAATAGTTGTTTGTGTCTAATGTATTCTGTATAAGGCTGCTCCCACCAACCTAGGCGTCTGCATTCCATGTCTACACGTCCAAATGCATCCGTTTTGAATTGAAAGTCACGAAATAAACGTCCACTGACTCTTTTATTTGTGCATTTTTCTTCCCAGATTTGTTTTCTTTTTCTAAATATTTCCAACTCCTTCTGCATTCGTTCTTTCCCGAACGCTTCCACACGCGTCCAAAATGTACGATTAAAATGATCAAAAAGGATCACATCTCCTTTATTCCAGCTTCGAATCCTTTGCTCCTCATCTAATGTTAACTCTCGTACCCTCTGCTTATTTCGTACAACTTTTGGCAAATATACAATATCATCGTAGTCCCAACACATTAATTCTTTAAGAAGAATCATCGATTCATCAAAATAATCGGAAATCAACACCAAGTCAATATCTTGATCCAAAGATTTTATCCTCTCCTTAACCTTAATCTCGTTTGATTTATCTCTCGTGCGCGTTAATCCAAAATCATGCATCATCGGGCATTTGTTGGGCCCGTACGTGTAGTTTAAATTTAACGGGTCTTTCTCCGCTCGTCTAATGAACTCCATCAGTGGATTTTCATAATGATCAACTCCATGTTTTCTACTAGATCCATAGTAATCGAATGTCGATTCGAAGTTCTTCACGGGTGATCTAACGATCGAAATAAATGCTGTGTTTTCCGTCATAACTGCTTCCATTTCTGAAAGAAGATAACATTAGGAAAGTTAAAATTGTTTATTCATCAGACATAGTTGTACAATATGATAAATGAAACAGGTGACACAAAATGAGCCCCAAGAATCCATACAGTGCATACAATTAAATTTGAACGATAAAAATACTATTTTAAAAAAATCATACAAAATTACGGGAGAAATACACTTCTTAAGATAACTTTATTGTTCCACAAGGGAAATTCTTCTGCTCGTCATCACATATTATATTATAAAATGTAAAACAAATATAAAAAAGACATACAAAACAGTCACAGATTTTAAGTAATTTTAAAATATACAAATTTGGATAGAGCTATTGTGAAAAAAATGGTGCACAACAGGAAAACATTGATTTACTGTACTTTGGTTCTTCATATCTATTTAATTTGATTTTCCTGCCTGTTGTAGAGAGCGATTTGGCGCAGCAGTTGCAGTTTTGTGGGTCCCGAACCTTGTATTTTGCATCTGTCCTTGGGGAAGGCACTTTACCTATAAGTGGTTGTTTCTCTCCACCCAGGGGTACAAGGGGTATAAATATAGTGGAATCGAACACAAAATACGCTGAATGATAGCTGACTGAGTATGTGTTCCGTATGTGTTTGATCCAATGACCGGTGTTTTAATGTGAGTGTTTTTTTTAGCTTCCATGTATTTTTAGTAGGCCTTTACAATAATAATGTTGTAACAGACTAATCAAACGAAGAAAGTAGATGACGTAAGCAAATAACTAATGTGACGTAATGAAATACTTATTACATTACCTTTCTTATTGAAAACAGCGTGATGACAGAAAATATCATACTCCTGTATACCGGGTATATGCATGACAAATTCGCGTTGGAATCGACGCGTGTAGTCAAAAACATGTCGATAGTAAAACGCGTTTTCGTTTGGCAGTGCGAACGTTAGATTGCGTTTATCGCCGAATCTTAGTAGTATGTTTTGCAAGGTGGAGCTTGCGCATTTGTGGGTCTTCTGGAACACGATGCTCGTCCTGGGCTGGCAAGCTCTTTCGGCTGATTTTTGCTGGTACTTGTCTTCCGGTACCTAGTTGGAAAAGAAAAAATATTTAGCTTCAGTCGATCGTCTTATTGTGTTACTCACATTTTTTCTAATTGGCCGCTGCTGGTTACGCGTTTCAATACAATACAGCCAATCGTAGAGTACATAGCTCCGAATGTTATGTTTAAATAAACACCACAGATGAATGTGGGTTAATTAACTGTTAATAATTTTTGGTCACTGTAAATGTAATAAAGTGAAATACTACTATTTTATCCTGCAACACATGTGTCTTAAATAATACTCATAAAAAATGTCGAAGTGATACAGTATTTCTTTCTTCAAATGAATCACTATGAGGCTATTATTGTATGTTAGATCTGTCGCGAAGAATAAAATTACTTAGGACAGAAAATATGTCGTTTAAGATAACTATTGATAATGCGCATGAAAAAATGAGATAGCGCCATTTATCACGTCTATAGACGCGACTGTAGTCTCTCGGTGAGCTGATCATGTTTCTATTTACTTTTTAAGTGTTTACAAAGTCCGTCCATCCCACCATGATTACCTTAAGTTGGACTGCCTGTAAACTTTGGCAAATGTCAGAGGGCGCCACACCCAGTGAATCAAATTGATTTGCGTATAATCCTACTTATAATAACGTCTACTTTAGCATTTAATCATCAATTATATTTTTAATGACATACATTTTCGTTTATGATCCGAAGAAGTCGATTTATCTCCTCCTCTAGCTTCTGTATCGGCTGGGATCTAATAATAATAATAATACAATAATTATAAGACCAATAAATTTCCAAGGCTAATATTAATTGTTAGATTGTCATAATTATTATATTTTATTGTTATGTATTGTTTTGGGCAGTAGGTCATAAGCTAAACACTAATAAGCCTATCTGGGTTACAAATTACAATTTAATATAATTATAAATCTAATGAAGATTGTGAAGATAGTACAAGACACAAGATGGTAATAATCATGGTTATTAAAAATATTCAAAATTAAAATTAGGTGGTGTTGGTGGTAGTGTTGTTTTAGTAGCAACAGCAGCAGCAGGAGTAGTAGTAGTACTGTAGTAGTAGGCCTAGTAGCAGCAGTAGTAGTGGTAGTAGCAGTAGCCGTAGCAGTAACAATGGTGGTGGTGGTGGTGGTAGTCGTAGTAATAGTAGTAGTAGCAGCAGTATTAGCATTAATAGTATATAATAAGAGACAGATATATATGTCTATAATATGTCCTACGTAATGGGATTTCTTAATTGTCCTTGAAAGGATAAATTTCAGTAAAAACTCGTAACACATAAGTTAAAGTATTAAAAACATGGATCAAGATAATGAATATAAATAAATATGGCATTAGTATTAGTATTAGTTGTATATCATATTATTATCGTTCAATTGTCATTATTTATAAAATTCATTATCATTATTATCATTAATATTTATTATTATTGTCTTCGTCATTTTTATTATTATTATTACCATCATTTGTGTATTCACCGTCATGTGTCGTCGTTAGGCCCTACTACTATCATTAGCCGTCGTCATCGTTACTATTCTTATTACCATTAGGCCTACCTAGCTCCACAATCATGTTTATATCGACTAGTATATAGATGAATTGATATCAGCAGGTATATCACGATAGTGGAGAGCAAGCCACCCCAGACAAGTCTTTGTCTCATCTTCCGTTGCTTATATCCTCTACTATCCTCGAGAATCATAATTCGATTTCTAATACAAATATACAAATTAAAAGAAGAGGAAGTGAATACATAACGTGTCAAGTTGTGCATGATAGCTACACAATGAATAGGTAATTGCTATTAATAGAGTAATGTATTCACAGTGTAAACATGCTTATGATGATATCTGTTTATTTGCTTACATTTTTTCGGCATAACATCCGAACCCCAAACACAGCCATACCTTAAAACCCTCTTTTTATTGATAAATGTTGAATTTCCACGTAATAAATATGTGGGAAATAAGTGACATTTTGTGGTTTACTTTTTGTTTTAGTTTTATAAGTATAATAATTAGGCCTATTATTATTTTTACTACTAAAGGGTACTCTCACTAATAATTATCTTCAACAAATAGAGATAGTAGAGAATAAATTAAATTGGCAATCACTGCAGATATTTATAGCATGAATATAACATCATTTTAGGGGTGATTCATCGCATGTTACGAATCGTCCAGTGGTTATGTTCATGCCATATATTAATTCATATTACAGCAAGACCTGTCTACGTATTATAGACAAAATATACGTAAGAAACCATTTTGACTGTCTCTTATCAGAGAACTTTAACTGTTCCCTGCTCTTATATTCATGTCATGTTCCATAAAGTGGTAATTATGTATCTATATCAGAGATGTCACCAACATCCACCGAAGGGTGAACATTATGTGAAAAATTTACTTAGAAATTAATCTAATTACCTAATATAGGACAACCTTAGATTCTGTCTTAACGTTTATCATGCATGATGCTTGGTCTAGTAATAATGGACACAAACTTACCGTACATTTTTAAGTTCATCGCCTGCGATGGACACGTTATGCAACCATTTTTATCGACGTCATTTGATTAATAAGCCTGCTTGTGAATTCGTTGTTTCGTAAAAAAAACCTCTGTTTCCTTCTGTATGAATCACTGAGTGGAGCAGAGGAAACTGCCTATTAGCGCAACTTTACTTTAAATTATCTTCTGCAGCCTTTCTTGCATATGTACCGTGTAACGTCACGGATCACGGCCAGTGGATTGGTCAATTGTCTATTGGGTGTTGATCGTTAAACAAACAAGTATTGTCTTAACTAATGTGAACGACAGTTCTCGCTGGAATACATTTCAGGTTTTTTATCCACTTATCTACATAGTGCTAAATGGATTAGTATTTCATCTGTGGATAGGCCTAGGCCTACTTGGATTTGTAGCAGAATGTAATCAGTAAGGAAGTTATATTATATATATATATATATATATATATACATATACATATATATATATACATATACATACATATACATATATATAATTATACATA